TTGTCTCTCCCCGCACGTTTTCTCTGTATTTCACAGGTCTCTCTGTTGAAGTATAACACAACTGTCACATTTCACTTCCTCTTTGCTCTGATCCTCCCTGTAAACATTTTTTATTTATTTTAAAGGGGACCTTCACTTTAAAATCAAACTTTGGGGAATTGTAATCCTCTGCTCTCCTCTAAAACAAACATTTGAGATTTCTTTCAAGCCTAAATTTACCTAAAACAATAAAAATAAAAAATCAGCACAAGGGACAAGACAAATTTCCCTCCTCTGATACCCCCCCACACCCTCCACTACTACTGTAATCTTCCAGTGTGGCGTGGGTTAATAGAACTAGGGGAGCTGTCAGAGGCTCTCATCAATAGTAGTGCCCAACTATGCCCATCTATTCTACCCAGCTCCTCCATTCATAGAAGCCGTACTTCAGCATCTATGAATGAAACAGGATCTATGAATAAAGGGGGCTGAGCATTCCACCCGTCTTCCATTCATAGATTATGTTTTATTCACAGATGTTGTAGTTAAGGCTTCTATGAATGGAGGAGCTGTACAGAAAGGGCGGGCACTCTTGATGAGCGCCTTAGGCTGCTTTCACACTTATCCGGCTTTCTTCAACTTTTGCGTTAAAAAAAGCGTAAGAAAAACATGTGACCATGTAATCCTATGGAACCCTTCACACTGAGCTGCTGCGTTTTTTTAAAATCCTGCTTGCTGCATCTTTGATGCAGGGTTCACGCAGTAAAAAGAACGCACCTGTATAGTAAAAATAATGAAAATACGTGGCAAAAATGCAACAAAAATGCTCCCGCATTGCATTTTCGGTGCGTTTTTGAGTCACGTCTTGTAAATACAGATCAGTGTGAAAGTAGCCTTCGTTGTATTAACCACTGCTGCAACGGAAGATTATGGGGGTGGGAGATTATCAAAGGAGGAAGATTTCAGCAAAAGGAGTGCACAGAATTATATGAACACAACCTACTGAAGGTAAATGTTAGGAAAGGCGAATTCTTGTATGCAGATGATTGGTCCGTGGCCGATTCACAGGTGAGCATGTGCAGGAGCACGCTGGTGCGCAAACATGTGCGTAAGCGCACACAAATGCCACGCGGGCTGAACTAGTGCCTTGGATCTTTGCCTTTTGGTCTATTACGTTTCCTGAGTATCTGCTACCTGTTCCTGTGTTAACTCCATGTTGTAAAATAGGTGAATATAATGGCGCCTATGAAAAGGGTAAGAATGGATCACTATCTGATGTACCAGCTGCAAAATCCACCATATACTAATAAAGTGTGTAACAAAAAACAAAAATAATTTGCGCTAGTAAGTAAATTAATACCCCAAAAAAAAAATATGGCTGTGAACATAATAGATAAAAAATATATGAATGATAAATATAAATAAATATATAAGTGTCCAAAGAAAGTCCAAAATAGGATGTGTAAAAATCAAGTCCCAAAAAAATGCAAAAACTATATGTGACAATCCACCACCAAAAGTGCTAAATGAACTCACCAGAGCTAAAGGAAACTGAATCATATATTGCTCTGGGGGCGATGGTTAGCAAGGTAATGAACCACTCATGGATGGATCTTCAGGGAATAATAATCTGCAGAACTCGGCTCCAGACAGACCAATGTGAAAGAAGCAATGATCTGTGATCAAATACCACTAAGGAAATCCACTTCTCCAAGACATCACCTTATTCATATCCAAAGGGTGTTATGCCAGACACTCGGAAAAAAACAACAACAACTTCATAGTGCAGTACCTTTAGAACAACTTCATTTATTATGCACTCATCACACTTAACTCAAAAGGTGCCCCAGCCAACACCAGCGTTAACAGCATGTAGGAAACACAATGAAGGAACCCAGCCACTCGGCACATGCGCAGTAGATCGCTGGGAAACGTAATGACGTCACATCAATCAAAGCCCCACCCTACGCGTTTCGTCATCTACGTCCTCACGGACTCCATGTTACCAACTTGATCTGCTCCTGACTCTGCCTGACGCTGCCTGAATGCTGCCTGTACCGACCCCTGGCTTGTCTCTTTATCTCTGCCTGCTGCTTCTGCCTATCTGCCCATCTTCCTGCTGTTACCGAATCTGTCCTGACTTTGACTATCTTCTGTCTGACATTTTTACTTTGATCTGCCTGTCAGTTGTTGACCCGGACTTAGGGTTGCCATCTCATCCCTTTAAAACTGAACACATATTAACCTGTTCGCGCTGGCCACACACAAATGTGCGGCCTCCCGGCGTCTGGGCCTAGACGCAGAGCAGCCGCACATTTGTGTGCAATTAAGAAAAACATATGTGCTGAGAGTACGCGCCCTGCGCACTCCCAGCACGCATGTCCGGTACTCAAGGAAAGGTCCCGATCTCCTCTTTCGATCAGGACCTTTCCCGATTATGTGACCACCGTGACGGCGAATCACGGCGGTCACATGACCCTAAAACCCTGCCCCGCCTCCCGGCTTCTTAAACCCTTAAAGGGCCAGGAGGCGCCGGCGCCAAAGGGTTAACCACTTTTCCTCCAGAGGATTTACCCCCCTTCCGGACCAGGCCATATTTTGTGTTATGGCGCTGCGTTACTTTAACTGACAATTGCGCACCCAAATGAAATTTATGTCCCCTGGGTGTCAGCAGGGAATCTCCTGCTGGGACCCAATGATCGACAGCCGTTGCCACCAATGGCGGCGCGAGTAGGGAGTGTATATATATATATATATGTGATTTTGCGCAGCCCTGCTGCCCTGTAGCAGTATTTGTGCTACAGGGCGGCGGGGAAGCAGTTAAAATATCACTAAAGGCAAAACGTTTTTGTAGTTTTAAATGAAGCGGAGAGGGATTAGAACACCTGTCAGTTTTTATCTGTCTGCCATCAGGGAGATTCACCCTCAGTGCACTGTTATCAGCAAAAGTGAAAGTAAAAAAAAAATTCCCAATTTTTGGGTCAACACCAGAACAGTAATAGAGGGGATGTTTTCCAATGGGGAAAATAGTTCTGGTGACTCCCCAGGATTCCCAATTTGCTCTCACTTCCTGTTTTGGATGCTGGACAGGAAGTGTAGAAAAAATCTCCCCAATGGGACACAGATGGCAAAATCTGACAGGGGTTTTAACCGTCCCTTACTCTAATCAAAATGAAAAAAAAAAAAATAGTTTTGCCTATAGTTCTACTTTAAGTTTACCTAAAACAAAAAAAATAAATAAACATAAGGGACATTACTTACTGTAATGTACCTGGTGGTGGAGCCTGATGTGTGGAGTTAGGCTTCCATCTCCAATGTGATACTGCTGCTGACACTAAATGTGTTCCCACATATGCAAATAGTAAATACTCTAGTAAATACTCTGCAAACTAGTGCTGCGCAATATCAATTATTCAGTTTATACCATATGTGTAATCCTCATAATAAAGTGCCTGTGCAATTTCCAGTATAACTCCTTAAAAAGTGCATATAAACATCACAGTGCATACATAAACAATGTGTTCATCTTGCGACATAGAAGTCCCACATAAAATAAAGAGTCCTTATATAATATATCAATTCCTCTTAATTAATTTATTTTATTTTATTTATTTAATTTATATTAATAATAATGTCAATTTACGCAGTGCTTTACATATATATTGTACATTCACATCAGTCCCTAACCCTCAAGGGGTGTACAATCTAAGGTCCCTAACTCACGTTCATACATACACATACTAGGGCCAATTTAGACAGGAGCCAATTCACCTACCAGCATGTCTTTGGAATATGGGAGGAAACCAGAGTACCCCAGAGGAAACCCACGCAAGCACATGGAGAACATGCAAACTAAGGTTACTTAATGTTTTTAAATAGTTGTGCACCTTCCTGCCGTGTGCAAAATCACCCTTCTGTGTTTCTCCTCCACCAACACACATATGTACTCTCACCTCCTTATTTTGACCAAAAAATGTTTAGGTCAAACAGCACCTTTCCCTTTTAACCTGGGTAGGTATTTTTCTTTTACTGCTCTACTCTCCTTCACACTCTAATCCAGAATTATCTTCCTATTTATTATTCAGCATATCCTCTGAAAATGCAGAAAAAATGCTCATCATAGTGTATCACTTTTATTAATCAACATTTATTAAAAAGATAAAGCACTCACATAAAAAGTACCCAACTGGGACACTACAGTTGAATAGCTTCCACAATATCACATCCAGCGTTCTCACAAAATGGCGGCTCGCAAACTGTTGTGCGGTTGTGTGGCTTGACATCATCAGCCCACCCTACGTGTTACGTCATAACGAGTGACTTCATCATGAGATGCACTTTTGGGGGAAAAATAGGACATAAATTACATTTGGGTGCAGTGTCGCATGACCACACAATTGTCAGTTAAAGTAATGCAGCGCCGTATCACAAAAAATGGGCTGGTCAGGAAGGGGGCTAAATCCTCTAGAGGGCAAGTGGTTAAAACAATCTATTGAGCTCCTGAGGGAGTCTATTCCATATTTTCACAGCTCTTACTGTGAAGAAGGAGAGTGGATAGGGCGCTTCTGCTCTGGAAACCTTCATCTGAGAGATGACAGCTGGTGTGATGCAACAATGGACTAAGCACTGTGCACCACTTCTAAGAGTGTGAAGCCAACTCTGTATTTTAACCTCCCTAGCGGTCTGATTATGTCAGTATTTCTGTGCTCAAAGTGGTACTTTTTTTGCATGGAAATATGTAGTTTTTTTATTGTAGGCTGTAATTTTTAGGAATAACTCACTGAAATCTGTCCAAACAAGAGTCTAGTAAACATTCCGGGTATGTTAAAATTTGAAACACAAAATCATAAATTATAATTTAATAAATAATCCTAAACAATAATAATGTATTTAATTCAATAATATAATCAAACCAAAAACACTGAAATTTGAAATATAGCGCCAAGTTCGCACATCACTGGGCAAAGTCGCAGAATCGTTTTCAGTGTCTGATGATGAATTTCCCCACGAATCATTATCACTCAATTCTGCAAGTAGTTCTAATTTACTATCGCTGTTCTCTAGCTGGTCTAAAACCGCTTTTGACCTAAAGGGACGCTTTTTGGACGCCATGGACGTTTCTCAGTTTCCAGGCAGAAAGAACAGTAAAAATGCAGGCAGGGCACAGGACAAAGCACTCGGGACAAAATGTATGTGAAATGGTTTGATACAGTAATGTTTCACTATGTGATTTTAGGGAATGTCACTTTTTGACATTTTTAAATTTCCCGCCAGTTCCGTCCCCGTACGCCCCGACGTCGCAGGGAATGGAACCCGGAAGACAGATGCAGGCATCGGCCGGAGGACATTGCCAGGGACACTGCAGGAAGGACATCGTGGGAGCGAAGGACAAGGTAAGTAAAGAAGAGATCCCGGAGCAATGCTGCAGGGTATTCCCGAGTGTAGCTCGGGGTTACCGCTTGTGGTGCTGAAACTTTACCCCGAGCTACACTCGGGAATACCTCCAGGGAGGTTAAGGAGATGGGAAGAATAAGGTGCTTCTAAGTGCAATAAGTCTAGTAACTTTAAAAATAAACAGTTAAAACACTTACAGCATTGGTTAGGGTACAAGTTCATCTGTATGTCAAAGTAGCGGGGCTCCTGTCATTGTGAAAGCAACCCGTAGTGCCGACCAGCAGCTGCAGGTGGAGCTCAGGGAGTGCTGGTAAGATGGTCGCTGCTCTTCCGGGACCGCTGGAATGCACGCCAGCCAAGTGAAGTGCAAAAACGGAAGTGATGTCGAGGTGGACAGTGACTTTTACAATGACAGGAGCCCCGCTACTTTGACATACTGATGAGCTTGTACCCTTACCGTTGCTGTAAGTATTTTTAACCGTTTTTATGAAAGCTTACTGGACTTATTGCACTTAGAAGCGCTTTCTTTTTCCTATCTCCTTACTGTGAAGCAACCTTTCCATATTTAGACATTAAATCTCTTTTCCTCCAGACGTAAAGAGTGCCCCCTTGTCCTCTGTGATGACCTCAGGGTGAATAACTCTACACTGAGTTCCCAGCAAAGCATGATCCAATTTGCTCCTGCAGGGAAAAAATTCCTTCCTGATCCCCCGAGAGGCAATTGGATATTCCCTGGATCAACTTTACCTATAAATGTTAGTATCCAGTTATATTCTGTGTATCTAAGAAAGAATCCAGGCCTTTTTTAAAGCAATCCACTGAGCTGGCCAGAACCAACTCTTGAGGGAGTCTATTCCAAATTTTCACAGCTCTTACTGTGAAGAAACCTTTCTGTGTTTGGAGATTAAATTTCTTTTCCTCCAGACGTAAAGAGTGCCTCTGTGATGACCTCAGGGTGAATGAATAGCTCTACACCGAGTTCACTATATGAACCACTGATGTATTTATACATGGTGATCATATCCCCCCTAATCTCCTCTTGTCAAGAGAGAATAAATTCAGTTCCTCGAATCTTTCCTCATAGCTGAGCTCCTCCATGCCTCGTATCAGTTTGGTTGCTCTTCTCTGTACTTTCTCCAGTCTTTTCATTGCAAAACCATGGAAATTTTTGTAATGGCTTTCATTAGTGTTCTATAAAAATTCAGTGCCTGCTCACAGGGCATAGTGAATATTTTTCACGGAAATCAAGGAAGTAAAAGTGTGGGTATCTTTACAAAGTAAGTTTACAAACTTCACAATCACTCAGAATAATAGGAGTAGGTTAGAAATAATTTCAATAAAATGTAGAAATGAATATACGATTTTACATTTTGACCATAGATTTTAGTTTTTATTTACTTTTTTTTTGCTATTTTCATGCTGCAGTAGCCCCTTGTCGCTATTCTCCATTACATAAAGAAAGAAGATGTAAATGCAAGGTAGGACCTGTGAAGAGAGAATGACAGACAGAAGAGGACAACGGTGGATCTGTTGGGCTTGTAAATATGGGATTACAACAGCAAACAAACACCAATGGTAAATGGGAGTAAAAATTATTTTGGTAGGGTAAAGTTCCTCTTTTGGGGGGTCTATAACACATTCATTGCATGAATGTCAGAAATATTTGTGCAAACTGAACGAAATTTCACCTTGTTTTCGAATAGATTCATTCCTGTACAGGGGCGTCCCTAGGGTTAGTGTCACCCAGTGCAATAATACTTGGTGACACCCCCTCCAACGATCCCCGCAGAATGGATCAGATCTGCGGATTGAGCATAATGGATCGGACTCCGATCCGTTATGCTCCAAAATCCTCAGATCCGATCCATCCTGCGGGTATCGTCGGCTTTCTTTACAACTTACCTTTTCGTGGAGCGTGTCCCGTGTCACCCCGTATAGGTTGTATGCCGATTGATTTTTCAATTGAAGGATGCCAGGTGCGAGGGTGGCATCAGGGCCACCTTCTGAGAGAATTTTGGTGGGTTTATCAGGAACATACATCATGGTATTTTAATGGGAAATCAGGGACAACTGGAGTGCAGGGAGCTGAGTCCAGAGTTGGTTTTAATACGTAAACCTTATGTTGTAAGTGGCCCTGCCCCAGTCCCCCACAAGTCCTATATTCACTTTTCCTGATCCAGCAAGATATCGCCACACTGCTTTGTATCCATTAGCAGGCATCTTGTAAGAGTTTGAAAAGTCCTGAGACATAGTTGCTGTTTATTTGCAATGCATTTTATTAAACTGAAACACTGATTTACAAAGTGTAGATGGAAACTTTGCAATCTTGAGATCATTTTAGATTTCCGTAGCATAAATATTTGAACAGTGTCCAGTCCCAGTGGTTCTTTTTTCTTATGCCAAAATCTGCTTCTAAATTAATACATCTCCCCCAGAGAAACCAACACTTTGTAAAAAATCAGTAACACATTGATCATTTATTCTTGGACTTCCAAAGATGTATTACATGGCTATGCCCTCTCTTAGATGACCAATGCAGCATTTAACTCTTTTGCTACCAGAGCCATTTATTCTTTTTCTGCACACATACTAAAATGCACATTTTGACCCCCCAAACGTTTTACATTTTCTGAAAGCAGAGACCAACCTTGTGGAATGAAATGCTGGTAGTTATAATTTTTTTTTTGCAAATTATTTTTTTGTAGAGTACCAAGCATTCAATAAAGGTAACATCAGTGCAAAAAATAACCCATGCAATGGCAGATTATTGACTCGACAGGGTGAAAACATGGCCCAACGCTTAACATAACAGCTGCAATTCTACATCACATTATCAACACGGAATGTCACTTTATACAGATATTCAGTAGTTGTTGTCACTTTTTATGTTTTATATTTGTGGCACTGTTTATCTAAACTATATTTTCAGTAAAAAAAATACACTTAAATTCATTTTAATGCACATAAACAACATGTAACCCCATTTTTTGGCAAAAATAAAGAATGAGATGTTGGTGAGTAAATAATGTAGATACCAAATATGTCAAGCTTCAAAATTGTAGGCACCTGTGAAATGGCCAAAAAACACAATGTCCAGAAGTATCCATAGCCAATGCTTTAAAAACCTTTACAGCTCATCAATTTAGAGTTAACCGTGAATGATGGCTCTAGAATTGTTGCTTTCACTCCAGCATGTACCTAATATGTGTGGCTCAATCGTCATTTTGGTATTCATGTGTATGCAACATGTGGGTTTGCATTCCTATTTGTGTGTATGAGTAAGCTGTGGCTTTTTAAAAACGTTTGTTTTTTTAATTTATTTTTTAAACTTTCTCTATTTTTTACATTTCTTAAAGTGGTTTTAAACCTAATTTGTTTCCTAAAACATGTGGGTTTGCATTCCTATTTGTGTGTATGAGTAAACTGTGGCTTTTTAAAAACATTTGTTTTTTTATTTATTTTATTAAACTTTTTTTTTTTTTTACATTTCTTAAAGTGGTTTTAAACCTAATTTGTTTCCTAAAATAAAAAAAACATGGTATACTTGCCTTCTCAATGCAATGTTTTTTTTACAGAGTGGCCCCAAACCTCCTCTGCGCTCTCTGCTCTACCTCTTCTCTGAGTGCCCATATAGCAAGCCACTTGCTATGGGGGCACTCATCCAGGCACGCTTCCGAGCCAGGCTGTGTGCATCCACAGGTACACACAGCGTGGCTCGGCACTGCCCCCTGCTCCCTCCTCACAGGATTTGATTGACAGCAGCAGGTGCCAATGACTCCTGGTACTATCAGCAAAGCCTGTGAGACCAGGAAGAGGGGAGAAGAGCTTCTGCAGATGGGGCATTGCTGGACTGAGACAAAACTCAGATAAGTGTTTAAGAGGGGGGTGCTGAGGGAGCTGATATTGAAAGTTTTTTTTACCTTAATGTAGAGAATACTTTAAAGCCAGGAAGTGATCAGAGCTGAGTACTTTGCAGGTGCATACTACCCAGGAGAGGACATCCAACAGATTCATGATCTGTCACCTGTCTCCCTCCTGACAACTACCATTTGGGTCCCTTCCAAAGACCCAAAACTGCCAAAACATGTTCTACAACCTACCTCCAACCCTAATTAACCAAAAAAAAATAGGGAGGAGGGGAGGGACGTTCATCCAATGGTTTTAATTCTCTAACTGATTCTGTCACACCCTTCCCTGCAAACTATCCTCCTACACTTCTCCCCATCACCCCGTCTCCTCAACCAATCCAGTAAGTACTATCGCTTTCTTCACTCCTTTAAAATGATTAACCCCATGTTGCCTGGTTCTCCTACCACCTTGTCATGATTGCCCAATTCTTTCCTAGTTCCAGACCTTTCTTAGTGGCCCCATTTTCATGGTAAAGAAATGGGCATCTTTGTTATCAGAGAAAGCTTAGCTTTGCTGGACTGGACCCACATTATCAGAAACAAAATTGAATTAGACCTGGATTGTTTGCTGGAGTAGGTCAAATGTATTTTATTTTTTTTATTTTTTACAGGTACAATTTACGCAGCGCTTAACATATATATTGTACATTCACATCAGTCCCCAACCCTCAAGGGGCGTACAATCCTAGGTTCCTAACTCACATACATACCTACACATACTAGGGACAATTTTAGACAGGATCCAATTAATCTACCAGCAAATGCAGCAGTCCTGGGATTAGTAAAAAGTACTTCACTTACTCCTTTTGGGTTTTAATGCACATTGGGTTGATTTACTAAAGGAATAGAGACTGTTTACTTAGCAAAGTGAGTTTTTAACTGAGCTTAATGAATAAGGCGAAGCTATGTTCATTTCAATACACTAATATTCTAACAAAAATTAATTTTATTAAAATTTTTCTTGTAATGATCAGGAGTTCAAAGTGAATATAGTTTCACCCTATTTACAAATGTACAGTTTGTGAACAGCCGCTATGGTTTTAGTAGGTCAACCCCTTTGTATTTATTC